GATCCAAACTTTCTTATGTCATGGGTATATCAATTCACCATCTTTAAAACCTTTGTCTCATGGGGTTGGTTGGACTTAGTTAGAATTCCTCTCAAAGTGAATTCAAACCTTGTCCATGCTTTCTTTAGTAATATTATCATAGTCCATGAGAAAAATGACGTAAATAAGGTCATTGGGATTGAGTTGTTCCTTATGGAAAAAATGTTTACTCTTATTCCATATTCCATTGCTACCTATCAAGGATGATGATCCCTTCAATAAAAATCAATATATTCAAATGGAAAGGTTTCTCAATGATAGCTCTAGCTCTCTTGAGTTCCTCGATCATCTATTGTTACTCCCCATCATATAGTTTTTCCGCATTTTCGGTGGTAAAGCTATCGATAAGCGCGCTTATGGTTATTGGTGGTATGATCATGTTAAGAACAATATTCGTCCTAATTTTACCATGACCATATTCTTATAGCTTGTTGATATTATCTCAAACGGGGTGAATTACACCAAAACTCTTCTCTATGGTGTTCTGGTACCTTTAGGCCCCTCGTCTGAAACCCTTTAATCAGTTGGATTCCTTACCCAAAACAGCACGCTAGTACCAATATTGTGCTCTTCAATATCGGTACTAAACCTTGAGTACCGATACTAACATTTGAAATCGATACGAAAAATAGCTACTGGAATCTGATGAGATTAGACAATATCGATACCCTTAGTTAGAGTATCAATACTTCAGACTGGGGTATCGATACTATCCTGAGGATTAATACCAAATTTTCTTTGATGTTTTGAAAAAGATTCAGTATTGATATCCCTACTGAGGGTATCGATACCCTATCCTCAGTATCGATACTCCCATGAGTGTCGATACCAAAAAGGGCTACTATAATCTATTATCTATACTCGGTATCGATACTCCACCCTTGAGTATCGATGCCAGAAGAATGAGTATTGATACTCCCATTCTAAAATTCCTTGTTTTTAGGCTATCTGATGAATAGTATCGGTATTGTTCTTCCAATGCCGATACCCAAGCCCAGAAATGTCTTATTTAGGCACGAAAATGACACCTTATTTCTCCCAAAAGTCTCCTTGAGGTTCCTAAGTGTTATTTAAGTCTTATGTATGTTAAGGAAGGTTATAATAGGTCAAAACACATACTGAAAAACACCATACATTGAAATATACCATGAATATACTTATATGTTTCATAACTCATGCAACCAACCAAAACACATCTAGTGATCTACAGGTGATAGAAATGAGTTACAAGTGTGTTACTTGGACTCCTAAGCTGCTGAAAATGCCCAAAAATTAACCAAGGGTTAACTTTTTTTTTTGCTCTTGGAGCTCTCTCCAACTTCTCTCACTAAACAAGAATCAAACACGTAAATTATTAACTGGATTAAGAGCTTAGAAATATGCTTTGTGTATTTTTAAGACTCAAATCCCCTAAAAACAAGCTGAAATAACATGGGGTTCTAACCCTCAACTAAAACTCTTTTCATGGATACCATGACAAAGTGGAGAGGTTGAAGGCTTGATTTGAAGCTTTGGAGATGGAGGAAATGATTCTTACCTTGGTTTGGTTGAATTAGGTGAGTAGACCACTAAAGTTTACACCTTTTCTCAAGCAACAAGAAGAAGAATGAGTGGAAGAAGATGATGAAGATGACAAAGTTTGTGGGAGGAAAAAGAGAAGTCAACCGTATGACCTCACCAACATTTAAAAGATTTCAGTCTTTCCAACATAAAATGGGTAAATTTATTCCTTAATCCTTCAGGCTTTGGTCACAAATAAAAAATGTCATTTTTATCATTTTTTGGACCCAAACCAAAACCAACACCTATTTGGACCAAGTTTCCCTACAAGGCTAGAGAACTTATCCAAAACGCTTTGGATTTAACCCAAAACTACTAACCATGGATTTGGGGTATTACGTGTACAATTACATCGTGATCCTTTGTTCAAGTATTTGCGAACCGATGATAATTGAACTTTTACATTGATGATTTGTGATAAGCTTAAAATATTTTATAATATCAACAAAGGCTTTTCAGGTACAAAATAAAGGACAGTGAATCTTTATTTTCTGAGTATTTACATGATTATGGTGGCATTGAATAAATGGGTTTTACTTAGTAATATCAGCATTTCAAGAATGGCAAAATACATGTTAGAAAATTTTGAGAAATATTGAGTGATATGAATAGTATTATAGGTGTTCCTACAACTTTGTTGGAGTATTACTTTGAGAATACTTATCGGGCTACTACCGAATATGAAGTTGAAAGAATTGTGCAACTATATCGAGATTTGGTCATAGAGTATCAAGAAAGAATTATGTCCTCAAAGAATGAACCTCGATCCTTCAATTATACATTTCTAGATAGAGTTCCAGTTGATTTGGGAAGCTCGCGTGATTTTGATGCTTATGTTTCAAAGAAGAAACAAAATAAATAAAAAATTCAAATCTGAGTTAGATCGTTACTTGAAAGTGGATGTTATTCCTAGGATGTCGGACTTTGATATATTGACTTGGTGGAAGAGAAAGACAATTGGGGCACAATTTTCTAAACAACAAGAAATCACTAAAGATATTTATGTTATTTCGATTTCTATTGTTGCTTTGGAGTCTACTTTTAGTATCGAAGGGAGATTGGTGAATGCACAATGTAATAGACTTAATCCATCAACTGTAGAAGCTTTGACATGCTATCAAATTTGATTATGGGCATAAAAAGGTACATAAATACTTTACTTTTGACTTAATAGACTTATCGAGTAATTTTCATTATTTTTTACTTATATGTTTGATTATTATTTCTTATTAGATTTTATTTTTATTTATGTTTTAGTATCAAATTCAAATGAAACAAGCTTTTATGAAGATGATGAAATCAAACAAGATGAGATAACAGACATTAATAATTTTATGTTTATTATTTTTATTATAATCTTGTTTTTATATATTGATGTATAAATTTATTTAATAAGATTTTAATGGTTAGCTAAGATTGAATAATGTGAAACCGGTGATAATGGAGGATTTTTTTCATCGGATGTTTATTTTTATGTCTCGTTTTATAAGATTTATGTTTGAACTTTAACTTATTAAACTATATTTTATAGACTCGTAATTTAATTTATGGACTTGTAACTTTAATTATCTTGTATTTGAACTCGTTTATTTTTGTTCGATTTGTGTTTTTAAATTTTATTTATTATTTATTTATTTATTGAATAAAAAATTAAAAAATAAATTTGGTCGAGTCGATAGGGTGAAATCTTTTTTTATTGTGGATTGGGTCGAAAATCTGAACCGACTCATGACCATCCGTACCTGTACCTGAAACCATCAAATGTTGCTCGAAATTTTCTTTCTATCATCTTCTTAATTTCTACAAATGTGATATCCCTTTTAAACATCATATTTTTAGGTCTTTCAGACTAAAAACAACTTCGACCTTATTTTCAACAATTTGTCCATTATAATGGACAATCATCAAAAAGTTGTTGCTCATTTTCTCTACAAATTAAAAAAAAATTGTATTTAGAATAAAAAAATAATACATAAATAATTATACTATAATTATAACGAGATAACAATAAATCATAAAATGATATTATAAAAATTATTAACATAACATAACAATGAATCGTGAAATGCAACTATATTATAAAAATGATATTAATGTAATAATAAATAGTAAAATATATCAAATAAAATTTCTTCACACTTACTTGATTGTTTCTTTCAACAATTTGATTTGAAAAAAAAAATATTTTGATCACTCTTTGGTCTGCAAAAAATTTAACATATTAAATAAATAATCTTCAATAGAATAATATGAAACAAAATATAAAAAATTAAATAAATTTATCATATAATACTTACTCAACTCAGAATAAAGAAAGAAAAAGACATACCAAATTTTATGAAATGTTTCTTTTATCACTCTTGTTTGCAAGTGCTCCTTCTATCAATTGTTCCCTCTTTCAATCTTCTACTCTTCTTTTTAGTTTTAGATATTTATTTCCGAATTCATTCAATTATATATATATATAGCTAAAAAAAATTATGTTGAAATTATAGTTGGCTGGGTATGGGTTAGGACATGGGGAATATCAATATAGGTTCAGCTATGAGAATCAAATTGGCTCAGGTTCAAGATGGATTGCTTTCCATGCGACTCATAGATTTTAATATCAAATCATAAAGAAACGAAAGTGATGGACCAAAAAAATTTCATAGATCAATATTAAGTTAGTTTTGGACATCTTCCTTAAACTCGTCATTTTGCTTTATAACAGTCATTTTTATAAAATTTCATTTTTATTCCTGTACATCGATGGATTGATATATTATAGTATAGATTTTGATAATTCTTATATGTCGTTATATTTGGTTATTAAAATAATATTTTTATAAACCAAACGAGGGTTGATTCAAGTGGTAAACAGCTTGATATCGTTTAAACAAAGTCTCATATTCGAGTCATTGTGTATGCAGAAAATCCCCACTAAGAGACTCACCAACTAAAATCATGTGTACAATCCGGGTCAATCTAAATTAATCAAGGCGAAGCCTTAGAACTATGAGGACAAAAAAATATTTTTATAAATAGATAAAGTACAAATAGTCTATAAATATATATACATCTGAAAAAATATTAAAAAAAATACCGATAAAGTTGAAATTATATACTAAAATCAATTAAACACCAAAACAAAAAAAAACCATACACCTGCTACTATGGATTTAACTACAGTATAAAAAGATAGTCTATATATTTCAACCGTACGGACATGATAAAATACTGAAAACTTACTTGGAACACAATTTTTAACATGATAAAATACACATTACACAACCTATTGGGTCTGGTATGACGTGTGTAGGCACGCACTTTTATTACAATCTTCTTTAGTATAATCTAAAAGCCAAAAACACAGTTGAAAAAGTAACAAATGAAAGTAGGTTCCGAAAGCTACCAATTTGTACCTCAAAAGTTTACAGCCATCCCCATCTGTTTGGAGTTTCCAACCAAAAGGTTCTGCTGGATTTGATGCAATGGGCAAGAAGCAACTTCAATGTAGATTTTAAAACTTAACTTCCACGAGCTCTGAAAGATTAGACTCAGAGTACCATGTTTCCGGATTAGATTTTATTCTTCGGGTCACGGATATAAAAAGCAAAGCAAAGACCGTCCCAAGGTGGGTCTATGGAGGTCATTCTTCAACAATATTGACCAGTTCATATTCAATCAGTGACAGGTTGTTATCTTCCTTCACCGCAAAACTAGCGGGTTCAGCAACCTCAACACGACCCCATTTGTCCACTGCAAGCCTCATCGATCCTTTAAACATGTCAATTTTTGCGTTGCGAAGCGTTAGGGTAGCACCTTCTTTCATTAAGTCCACTATAAAAATAAATAAAAAGATGGTGTTAGTTCTGATTAGCACAATAATTTTTGAAAAAATAAAGCATGTTCTACCACCTTCGCTTTCGGATGACACTGCATAATTAATAAAATATCATAGCACAGAAACCTTGAAATGATTGCCAAAAACATATTTTTAATCTCTATTGGGTGAGATTTCATATGTATAAAATTTCTGTGAAAGCAAAGGATTATTGAATTCCATCATAACCGTAGGCAGCTGAAAGAATTTGAACACTTTTACGAAATTTCTATGAGCTCAAAAATATATATCTAATAAAGTCTAACATCATAATTGACACAATATAACATTTACATTTGATTAGATAAATATGGAATTTTGGCACTGAAATCTCTACAGAGAATTAAACATGAAGGCTTAGCCAAACGAAAATGCTTGTAGAGATATTTCACTCTTTCATTCAGCAACAACAAACTGAAATTATTCCATTCTTAAAAATATGTGCACTAATCTTTCTTAATATTTAACTGTAAACAAGCTAGCTCTGGAACTATAGCAATAACAGACCTAAAACAGGTGAAGGATGGTAAACAGACAAAAATCTCATCTTGGATATGTGACGACAAGTACTGGGAACAAAAGATCAAATGAAAAGCAATTGAATCATCATTTTATGCATAATAAATTTGGAAGGTGCATACCCTCAAAATTTGCAAACTTATATCCAGCTACGCTATTGGAACCTTTGTTGCTCCCATTGTTAATTTTCTTGAAGTATTCGTGTCTGATACACGAGTAAAGGATACAAGCTCTAAAGATCCTCGAAATACATAACCCTATCTGATACTTACACCCAAATCCGAGCAACATTAATATAACCACTAATAAGCTAATAAGCTGTAACAGCAAAAACCAAAACTACCATTTAATGCATTCCAATACAATCTTAGCCACTTAAATAGACATCCTTGTCAGATATACTGTGTTAAAGGAATTTTATGAGATCCAAATCTTCATATCATTTCTTCCATGACTTCAGCTCTTTAACCACATGAAGCTAATGCTGCATTACTTGTCTAAAATAGAAAGAGGACCATAATACGGAAAGCAATGAGCGATAGCAAAATTTCCCAAGAGAAAATACAATCAAACATAAAATAAGTAAACGAAAATATGAAAGTGCAAAACATATAAAATGCATGAGAAGTGCAACCACAAATAATAACACAAGCAAAACTACAATTGGGACCAAACCGAGTAAGGAGAAGATCACAAACAATAAACCTTGTTCATTTCTTGCAGTAAAGATGATCATTCCAGTCTCGTCTCCGACCAAAGATTCTGCAATTCGCATTTGACGTACTTGGGGACCATCAGGACGACCCTTCTGCAGTACCATCTTTGTATTGACAACCTTGACAGTAAGAGTATGGCCACTAGTCCCCGGGCGAAGTTGGTCCACCTGGGTGAAAATAGGTTTTCTCAACGTCTTTGTTTCCGCCATTTCAATACCTTCAGGGGAGGAAACACATATAGATAATAAGCCTACTAAAAAAATACCAAAAAAAATACCACTAAAATAAGCCTCTTAAGCATGGAGACGCGGGAACTAAAGAATATTACTACATTCCAAATTTAATTATTTTCAAATCTAAACAAATAAACTTAAATGAGTGAGAAAACTTATTTAAAACTCCAAATTGATTTTTAACGAAATTCATGATCCAAACAGTTATTTAAAAAACTGTTCAATTTAGCATCCAAAGCCAATAGTATGGTCTCTGCAACTTGAATTCCAATCTAATAGGACAACACAACTCTAATAATAACACTAATTTTAACAGAATAGTAAAATCCCTAAAACTTACAGATTTTGATACACAAACAGAGATATCAGATAATAACATGAATGAAATCTAACGAATCAAACTCCTGTAATTCTCCTTTCAGATAATTCCCCAGAATGGTAACAATCGTTGGCAAAATTTCACGCACAACAAAATACAACGGGAAAAAAAAGAATCGCATATTGGGCATCAAAAAATTCGAATAACGATTTGAGAGTTAGAAAAATTAAGGTTTTGAAATTACCTTCTGAAGATTTGGAGAGCTAAACCGAATCTGGGATTAGAGCTAACGGAGAGAGATTTGACAAGACACCTCGTAGTTAGCGTAGTCGAAGTATTCTCTTGAAGGAAATGTTTTCCAATCAATATCCACCGTTAATCTCCGATAGGATTTTGCAAATCAAAATCATACACGTAATCCTATTTTATCGAAGTCTACATTTACCCGTCCAGTTAAGTTGGTAAAGTTAACTTTGTAGTTATGGGATCGAGTCTTATGGTGAACAATTCATAATTCTGACTGTTGGAGGTCTTCCATAAAATTGCTCTCAACCCATTGGGGGCAGCTTACTATTTTTCCTCCCCCTCACCCTATTACATATGAGAATAGGGTCAACTAATTTTCTACATTTACCATAAACCAAAATTTATAACGTTTTATCGAAATTTCTAAAATTACACCTAAATTTTTAACATTTTAAATATTAATATTCATGACAAATATTATCTCAATAATTTTTTTTTTGGATAATTCTATTTTCATTACCTAAGAAAACAAGAAACTTGCTATATAAAACAACAAATTAGCACTTGGAGTGCAAACAACACAAACAACACAAAAACAATAGTACAAGTTCACCCCAACTTAAGAGATACCATATTTTAAACAGAGGGAGTCATTTCTCATATCAGTTCTACTGATAGTCCAACCTTTCAGCCGTATTTTGCCTCCAAACAACCTGTTATTTATCTCATTCCAAATGCCATACACATGACCAGTCCAAGCAAGTCTAAACACTCTCACAATGAGAGACTTTCCTTTAAAGCAATGAACAGCCCATGCCAACTCCCTATCTCAATTGCTAACTCTATGATTTACACCACATAAAATAAGGATAGCACCCCACAACTCCCTCGCAAAACCACAATCAAAGAACAAATAGTCTCTAATCTCAGCCTCGATACCACAAAGCATGCACTTGTCATTTTCTACATTTAATACCATGCTCAAAAGCCTTACCCGAGTAGGAAGTCTATCTAAGATAGTCATCCACACAATGATGTTGTGCTTTGGGATACGCCTTGGAAACCAAACCAGATTATGCCATAGGACCTTTGGAACCTTAATGCGCCTATCCTTCCAAATCTGCCCCATTTTAAGGTCTCTATTCGGACCAGCAAATAGATGACAAATAGCAGGCCTCAATTTCAAAATACTTTTGAAGCTTCAACTGGCATTAATAGGGATACTCATCTGCCAAAACTCAGCATTCCTAGTCACATAAGTACGAATCCAAGCCACCCAGAGGGAACCTTCATTAGCCAATAAGTTTCTAATCAATTGCACAATACATGCTCTTTCCCATCCTCCTATATCTTTTACACCCAGTCCCCCTTCAGATTTCACTAAACAAACCTGTCTACAGTTTACCCGAGCACCCTTTGCAGGCAAGTCAGACCCCTTCTAGAAAAAACGAGAGCATAACTGCTCAATCTTTCTAATTATCACTTGTGGTAGAATAAGTTGTCTACACTAGTAATTTTCTATGCTGAATAAAATAGCACGACCAAGTTGCAGCCTACCAGCAAAGCTAAGATGTCTATTAGCCCATAAATCCAACTTTGCCTTTATTTTATCAATGAGGCATTGGCAATCCTTCACAGCAAGTTTTCTAGTTACCAAAGGAACACCCAAATATCAGGGAGTTTTCCCAATTTAAATCTAGTAATCTCCTTAATAGCATCACACTGTTCATCAGAGACCCAAGCTATGTATATCTCACATTTGCTAGCATTTAATTTCAAACCCGACATGGAGTAGAAAATATCTAAAACAGTTTGCACTCCAATGATAGAATCAATTTAATCTTTGCAGAAAATAAGCAAATCATCAGCAAACAAATATGTGTGATGCCAATCCTTTTACACTTAGGATGAAATTTAAAAATTCCCCTCGAAGAAGCCACATTCAGTAAACTAGACAGAACATTCATAGCAAGGAAAAAATATACGGTAAGAGAGGATCACCTTTCCTTACACCCCGAGCACCCCTAAAATAACCAACTAGGTTGTCATTAAACACTATAGAATATCTGGGATTTGTAAAACATACCCAAATCCAGCCAATGAACTTCTCAGACAGTCCCAAAGCATGCAAGATAAAACCTACAAACTCCCAGTTTAGAGAGTCAAATGCTTTTTGTAAATCAATTTTTAGAGCACATCTTGGGGATATATTTTTCCTAGTGCAACCTCTAACAATCTCTTGAGCAAGTAGTGCATTATCTACTATACTCCTCCCTTTCACAAAAGAAGTCTGGTTCATGGAGATCATACCAGGAAAAACAACAGATAATCATCTAACTAAATTTCTAGTAACAGTCTTGTAAATCACAGAGCAGCAAGAAATAGGTTTAAAATCCCTAACCATACTCGGGTTAGGCACCATTGGCGCAAGAACTATAGTCGTTGCATTTAAAGAATTGAGTAAAAAAGAGTTATCAAAACAGTACCTGATGGCAGCCTTAAAATCATCCCCCACTATAGGCCAATCTCTTTCGAAAAAGTAAGGATTATAGCCATCCGACCCAGGGGATTTGTCATTCCCTTGCTCCCATATGGCTTCCTTTATCTCAGCATCAGAGATTTCCATGCATAAAGCATATGTAGCACCCATAGGAAAGGAGTAATCAAGAAGATCTTTAATCATTCTGACATTACAACCCTTCACATCCAAGTCAGCCACACCTAATTGGTTTTTAAAAAATTTAATCACCTCGTTAGACATGTCATCAAAAGTATCAAGCCTAGTTCCATTTTGATTATAGAGAACCCGAATTGTGCTACTCTTCCTCTTGCTAGCCACTATAGAGTGGAAAAATTGAGTTCATTGATCACCATCTCTAATCCAGTTCACTTTTGCCTTTTGCTTATAGAAAAGCAATTCTACCTTCTCAAGAACTTCCAATTCCCACTTAACTTTCAACTCAGCATTAATATTGTTGCCAGCAATATCGGAATCCAAATTGGTCAACTGAATTTTTATCAGTTACTCTCTCTTTTTCTTTACCTAACCCAAAATGTCATTAAATTGAACCCTATTAAGCTCTTTAACCTTTTAAGTTTTTGAAAAATAACCTGAGCTGGATTCCCTACAGCCAGGGCCTGCCAAGACTCCTCAACTATATTCATAAATTTAGGATGCATCACCCAAAAAATGAAGAACTTAAATGGCTTAGGTCTAACTACAGGAGCTTCTTTGTGCAGCCAAACTAAAGCAGGGCAATGATCCATTTCACCTGGAGCTTGAAATTCAACATCTGAGTCAGGAAATGTGTCGATCCATTTCGAATTTACAAGTACGCGGTCCAATTTACGTGCCAGGTAAGTTTCTTGCAGTTTGTTCGACCAAGTAAATAGAGGACCAGTAAAAAGATGATCGAAAAGCCCCAACTCCTCCACACAGTTTTGAAAATCAGAAATATCAGCATTTGCTCCAGCAGTAACAGGAACCGAACTTTCCTCAGCTTTTAAAATGACATTGAAGTCCCCTCCTATCAAACAAGGCATAATATCACCATACTTTTCATAGAACTCAGTTGATTCCATAGTTTCCTGCGAATACCTCCCACATTAGAACCATAAACCACAGTTATCCAAACATATTTTCCATCAAAAGTGCCCTTGATAGAAACACTTTGGTCAAATACAAAGCAAACAATACAACTCAAACCTTTTTGCCAAATGACCCAAATACAACCATTTACAGCATGGTTGTAATTGCAACAAAAATCCCAATCACTAAACCTCTTATTTTAAAATTTCCCCTGATTTACCCTCTTTTACTCTTATATTGAGATTTCTGATGGTTCAAAGATCCCGGACCATGTTGATGTGCTTTTGTGTGATGGATCAGTGGTTTGGATTAAGGTTATTGTACCTTGGATACATATTTCTTGAGTTGATTGTGGTCGATTTGGACATTTAGGGAAGTATTGTCCTCAGGAGAAAAAGGTTGAACAAATATGGAGGGTTAAAGGTTCTGTACAGGAGGTTAATCAGGATGTTTCTGTTAGTAGTGGTGAGGCTGTAAAATATGTGCTGAGCACTGGAAATATTACTGGTGGAAATATTTCTATTGATACAAACTCTTGTGCAGTGATAGATTCTAATGAGATTCTAATGCAGCGACTTGCACTGGTAGGGATAAGGCTTGCTCTGGTGAGGAGATTGTGCAAGAGACCAAACAGGCTGGTCATGAGGGAGTTATCACATTAAATCCTGAGTATGGAAGTAATCCCCCACTTAAGAGAGGGAGAGGCAGACCATCTAAAGAGGGTGGTAAAACTACTATGGGAGGATCGAAAAATAAATTTGAGATACTAAACTCTGTTGATCCTGAAAGTTTGATGGGATTGCCTACTGAGAATTCTAGTAGAAAGCAGAGAGGTGATTCTCTTGGAGTGGCAAAGATAATTCAATATGTGAAGCTAAAGAAGAAAAAACATGTTGAAAAAGTTAAAAAGATAAAGGATAGAGGTGGCGCTTCTTCCTCTTCTATTTTATCATGTTAGTATATTTTTGGAATGTGAGGGGATTTAATAATCATCTCAAGCAAGGAAAGGTGTTGCGCTGAGCTGTTAGTTGTCAAATTAATATGTTATCTTAATAATTAAAAAGATAATAATTATTATTTTTTAAGTATAATATCTACAGTGATATTTAAACATTTATTACTAAAAAATTTTACGGTGTATATCGCATATAGTAACGTATCAATAAAACGACATATCAAAACATAATGAAAGTAAATTTATCCTTATTATATAAATATTAAAAAGTATAAAGATTTATTAAAAATAATAATTAATTTTAATGATTTAAATTGTTTAAAATTAAGATTTTTAAATTATTTAAGTTAATAATGGTAATCACTAATAATCACCAGTAGACTTTAATTCGCCGCAGAACAGTCTACTACAAATCCAGCGTCGCCGTTCATTGTCGCCGTCGCGCAGCACCATTAGAAGGCAAGCAGTTGGCCAGTTTGGAGAATACAGTCCCCGTTTTGCAGCTTTACAAAAATATCCTAATCGCGTTTCCAGTTTTCGTTTGTGTTTACCCCGACTGCCGTCCATCCGTGTCTAACCGCCGGCAACTAACACGACAGAAATTTCTGGTTCGTCTCCAACCGCCTTCGCGTGTAAGTTCATCTCTCGCTTAACCGATCGTCTCTTTCATTTGCAGCGGTCGTCTCTTTCATTTGCAGCGGTCGTCTCTTCCATTTGCGGTTTGCACGATTGGATTATTAGGTTTGTTTTATTTTTGAAAGGTAAAATTACATTCCAACTCCATTATTTGTTTTTAATTTTGAATGATTAAATTACATGGAAAACCCCTATAGTTTCTCTCAATTATATTTCAGACAAACGTATATTTCTGTTTTAATAGACATAGCTAAATTACACTATCACCGTTTTAATTTAAATGGTCAAATTGCATACAAACACGCACACTTTCCCATGTTTAGATTTTAGACTTCTAGGTTTTAAATCTTTTATAATTTTTACTTTATTTTTACAATTGAGTTTTAATTTTCAACTTTATTAGTATCAAGTTAATAATTAATGAATAAATTAAAATATTAATATTATTGTTAACTAAAACTAAAGAATAAATTCGAAATCAATTATGCGCTGTAGACTCTTCCCATTATTGAATATTTAAAAGTTTTTTAAACATATATTATCTTAAAATAAATAATACTATTAAAATGTTTTAGTTTTATTTTATTAACTTAATTTCTAACACTTATCAAAATAGGTAAACATAAATAATATTTAATGTTTACCAAAATATTACATATGAATTCAAATTTTAATCCACAATGGAATCAGATTTTATTATAATTATAATGGTTAAAAATTATTTTTGATTAAGTTTATTTAAATAAAAATGTTATGAAATACAGATTCTTACTGATCAAGTTTGTTTTTCCATAAATATGGGACGTTTTTCCCAATAAATCACCGGTGATCGGTATATTTACCGATTTAACACCGATCAAATTATATTTATCGATCTAACACCCGTAGCAGTAAAGCGCACCCCCTGTCCCGCGATATACGCTGATTTGGCGTCACGTGAGTATAGCGCGCCCCTGATCCGCGCTATACCTAGATATCTAACACGTGGGGTATAGCGCGGTGCAGGGGGCGCGCTATACCCCTAAATACCCGCCCCTCCACATCCCAATCTTCCCTATAAATACCATCATCCTCAATCACTTTTATCACACCAAATTCTCTCAAATTCTCTAAATTTCTCTCAAATACTCTCTCTTTTTAAGGTATATTTTATAATATTTTTACTATTATGTATTTAATTTATTTAAGTATTTTAATTTATTTAATATTTTACTAATATAATTCTTTTGCATATATATAATGGAAGGCAGTCTACTTCACTCGGATGAAAATCATATATTCCTACACTTTGCTGATACAGTAACATTTTAACGTTTTAATTTAATTTAAATTATTAGTAATAATTAGTTGATTTATTTAATGTATGATTATTAGATTAAGAATTAAATATCTCGACACTTTGCTGATACGATAACATTTTAACGTTTTAATTTAATTTAAATTATTAGTAATAATTAGTTAATTATTTAATGCATGATTATTAGATTAAGAATTAATTTTTGTAATTATTTATTTTTAGGAGAAGGGGGCGCGCTATACCCCACGTGGAGCCAAATCAACATATAGCGCGGTTCAGGAGCGCGTTTTACTGCTACGGGTGTTAGACCGGAAAATATAATCTTACCAGTGTTAGATCGGTAAATATACCGATCACCGGTGATTTTTCGAGAAAAACACCTAAATATGGAGTATGATCAAAATACTTAATGATTTGTCAAAATGTACACATAGACTTAAATTCTAATTTGTAATTAAATTGAATTTATTGTAAATATAGTTATTAAAATTTATTTAGTGAATACATTTATTTAGGTTATTGCTAAATAGAAGGGTAAAGTACAACGAATGCAAAACAATTCCAACATGAAAATTTAAGAGACGTGAAGAAAATTAAAATCAAAACATTCGCTTAAATGTATGTTTCATCTTTCTATCAAAAAAAAATTAACAGCTATCAATAATCTTTATGTCTATATTCGAATCTATATGCAATATTAACAAAAATATTAAGATTGAGAGAACAAATTTAATAGATTATCCCACAAAGGTTATGAATGTATCGATAAATTACCCAACACAATACATATGATAACTTTTATAATTCATATACTTCACCATTTTTTTTATAAACGTACCAAATATAACTATGAAATATAATAAATTTTTCGTATCAATACAAACATTTAATCATAAATTCATACAATTCTAATTTATACAGGGATGGACCTAGGTAGGAATAGGTGGAACCGATCACCCTTAAAAATTTAAAATTATCATATATTTTATATTTTTTTATATATTTTCTATTGAAAAAATATTTTTGTCCCCTGAAATTTTATAAGTTTAAGTTTGTCCACACCTAACATAAAATCTTTTGTCCATACCTAAATATATATACAAATAGTCCTTTAATTATAAGGTAAAATATTTTTATTAATATTTTATTTTAATATAATAGCATTTAATATTATTAAAGATAAAATACATAAATAATCCCTTAATTATAAGGTAGTTTTTGTTGAATTTTTCAATTATAAAAGTAATAATCTAATTTAAAAGATAAGAAGTTGATCTATTTCTTTTAAAAAATTAACGAAATATGATATAATAATTAATAAAATTTACACAATAAAATTTTAATTATCGACTTTTATACATTTCTACAATTTGATCCTGATTTCAAAAAAAAAAAAAATTAACACTTCAAAATTACATCAATTTAGTACCTCTTCTAACTAATTTTTCTGTTTTTGTTATTATTATCTTCTTCACCGCGGCGATTACTGTTCTTTCATCGCGGCTGTTGACTGGCGGCGTTCCTTGAGTTAATTATGTTTCAATTAAAAAAAGTTTGTCGGATATTGTAGCTGTAATTTTGTTGGCTATACATTTTTCGGAACAAAATCATACTGAAAACCTACAAAAACAAAACAAAATCTCTTGAATCTGTGTTTTAAGTTATAGTTGCTCGCGGCAAAACTCACTCTTGGTTTTTGTTTTTGATCGTCTCACACTCGGTTTTGCTTTGATTTTGTTCAAAGGAATATGTATCAGTTATAATCAATAGTAATTTTAGTTAACTAATAATTCTTATACATTTTATCTAATTGAAAATTTTTAATTTGTGTATAACTGATGTTTTATATAATTATATACAATAAAACTTTATATTTATCCTAAATTTACATGTAACTCATATATTATGATAATATACTCATCAATATACAAATAATTTACCGTATGTATGTAAAAAAAATTTAAGTTTAATTTTGTTCTTGGTGATAGACGATCACGTTGACGATATCTGGGTTGATGATCCCACCTTTGGGAGTTGGGAGTTGGGACCTTTCCTTTCGCAGTTATTGATGAAAAGAAAAATCTTTGTATGTCTAGGAATGATAAACGGGTGGAGCAGCTGTAGATATTCTTTCCGTAGATATTCTTTTCCTATTTTTATATCTATCTAATATTTTTATATTTCTTATCTCCTACTATTTATGATGAGTAAAAATTTTAAATTTTTATCTACCCACACTTATACATTATTAAATTTATCCTCACCTCCACTACTCAACTGGATACACACTACCTATCTCATATCTCGTATGTACCATTCATACCCGTCAATACTCGTCAATTTAAGATAAGAGAAACAACGATCTTCAATTCTAAAAATGTTTATACCCTAACATTATGTTAAATAAAAAGTTATGTCCTATAAAATCTTAAAATTTACAGAATAATATCTAAAATTATATCTAAATTCATAATGTTTCAAAATTTATATGGTGAGTAGTTAGTGGTCGGGCGGATGCGATGCGGGTAAGCTCTCAAACTCATCACCTACCACTACTCACGGCGGGTATGACTTTTTACATCCACTAAACTTATACCTATCCCTACCCCAATTGAAGCGGATACAGTACAAAATCTATAAAATTGTACTCGTATGTCCTATCCCCATGTATGTCCTTTGAATAATTCATGGGTAAACTTAAATTTAATACCTAAACTATTAGTTTTATTTTATTTTAATATCTAAAATTTCATTTGTTTCAAAATTATATCTAACGTTTACTTTTTGTTTCATTTTAGTACCTCGTCGTTAAAAACTTAATAGGTGAGTTGTACGTGGAAACTTTTTTATGGGAAAATTACATCATTTATCACTCATATATCTTCTCAATCCTATTTTGGTCACTAAAGTTTATTTTTTTAATTTAATTACTTAGCTTTCAAATTGCTCATAATTTAATCACTCTAAATTTTCAAATATAATTTTTTTATTTTAATTATATATTAATAAAATAATAAAAAATATCATTTCACAAAAATTAGTATCAAAATTAATTAGAGTGATTAAAATAGGAGCAATTTGATAGTTATGAAAAAAATTTGAACTTTAGTGACCAAAATAAGAGTGAGACCATAGTTGAATGATGAATGATATAATTTACCCATATAGAATGCAGTTAGATTTTTAGTGGCAGGGTACCAAAATAAAACAAAAAGTAAACATTTGATTTTTAAACAAATAAAAATTTAGTTACTAAAACAAAACAAAACTATTCATTTATGTTTTTTTGCCCCTTATGTGGTCCATCCCTAGTGTCGGTCTATTCTTTCATTTGATTGTTGGGTTCTTGGGTTTCCTTCTACCAAGTTTTTTTTCATTTTTAGGAAGTGTTACGGTGCGAAACTCTTAATATACAACTAAAAAAATGTTATTAGTTTTGTTATTATTTAAATAATAAAATCGGTAAAAAATTACCTAAAACATTATCATTTCTACCTAAAACATCAATGTTTTTTTAATATTTTAGGTAAAATGCCCAACAATAACAAAACCGGTAGAAAAAAATAACAAAACCGGTAGAAATAATAATGTTTTCAGTAATATTTTTACCGGTTTTGTTATTTAAATAATAACAAAACCGGTAATACATTTTTTAGCCGTATATTAAGGCTGCCGCTCGTGATCATTTCCCCCATTTTTGGTTCATACGGTAAATTAACATCAAATTGATGTTTCCAAAATTGATTCTTTTTTGTAAAGATCTAAAATTACTTCGTTTCGGTGTTATTTGTCATATCATGATGTCGTCAATTATTTAATAGCTGAGTGAGTAAAGCATGAATAATTCGAAAGTTAAGTGATTAAATTGAAAATTTTTAAACTTCACTAACCAAAATAGGAGTGAGAAGATAGTTAAGTGATGAACGATATAGTTTACCCTTATTATATTTCTATAAATAATATTTATTTATTATTATAATATTTTAAATAATATAAATTACTAATAATATGTAATATTATTTTATATATTTAATATTAATATACTATTTTAATATATTTTTAAAAATATTAGTGATTTTGGCATGGTGGTGCAGATTGACAATGCTATTTATGGATATCAACTTTGAAAATGCTGAGAACCTTTTCATTAAACGTTGTGACATTAGCATCAATCACTTGAAGTCCCAAAGAATCTATGCCTTCCATCAACTTTGCAAAGCGACCTCTCTTGTGCTCATACTGGAGTTTAATCAAGAACTCTCTTTTTGTTATCTGGTTCACTTCTACATGTACCTGAGGAAAAGATTCAAGAACATAAGTTAAGTTGAAAGTTTTCAACCATGGAAACTTGTGAAAAAAGTAACAACAAAACTAGTGTTTAATTTCCATTTCGGTTACCTCCGTTTTTACCGTCTCAGTAACACTGGATGACACTTGTTTAGGCTTAACAGCAGAAATGTTGTCCTCGATTTCCATGAGTTCTTTTTCGAGTTTCTTCTTCTCCTGCTGCAAATCTTCGACGAATTCGATGGCATCCGTAAGAATAGCAGGTTTATCCATCAGCAAATTCGGAAACAACGATATCATTGGAGATGTCTAATAAGAAGGCAGAAGAGTGAAATGAACTCTGTTATCATGCTTATATGCAATGTTAGTTCAAGGCTAACCTCGGATATCTTAGGGACTAAAGCTCAGCTCGAGGAGCTGTTCATTTATCTTCTTCCTTCAGTTCCTCTCTGAGACAAAATTCTTAGAATTGTATTTCTCTTTCTCGGGCTGCTCGGTAGTTCGCATTCTGTTGTTTACGGACTCGTCGCGATCTGGAACAAACCTTGCTTGTTGCTCAGATACATTTTGGCTGCATCTTGGTCTCTTTGTTCCATAATGTGTGCCAATTAGGTGCTTGAATTTCTCGCCTTGAGACATGTAGGCAGAATCAGAAGCAAAGGGTGGATGTTCAATTGAAGGACTGGAACCACAGCATGATCCATCCAAGCTAAGACGGGAGCTCGAATACGATACCGGTGGAATTGATCCTATTCTCGATTAGAGGTCGACAAGCTAATGGAAAATGTCAAGTTATACCATCTGTCAAGATTTGCTTTTGTATAGCTTTCTGCACTTGTGAGTTCTGGTTTTAAAACTGCATTGCATTGAGATGTTACCAACTCTATGACGCTGTGATCTTTCGGTATCTGAATGAAAAAGGATGAATAAACATGTTTATAAGAAAGACAGTAATGGATTGCAAGGAAATCAATGAGAAAGGCCAAAGGATCTTGCATGATTCGAAGCAAAGAGCTCGATCAGACCGCCTAAAACCGGGATCAGAACTTGGGTTCCGGTCATTTCCTGTCCAAAACACATTGATCATATCAAAATATAGAAACACATTGATCATTTGGCAAAAATTATAGTTCAAGGAGAAAACATTCGCATATGTTGATCAAACTTAAACTACTGCCATTTCTATACTGACAAAATGTAAGAGAGTGGAAAGTACACACATGATGTGAAGACTGTGAACCAGAGGCATTTCCATAGCTAATCCAACTTGGCTGATTGGACATAGCAACATCTCCATGAATCCTGTTCTTTTCACTGTCATAAAATCAGAATACTTGTCTTTCTTTTTCTTGGATTTCCAAAACTGAAAACTCTATAATTTGAGAGAGCAATGTTGACCCACAATAGAAAGAAATGAGAAAAGGAAAGGGTGAGAGAGCTTCGCAAGCCTTTGATCTTATGGGATGTTGAAAATGAGAATCCCTGCAGAAGGGACCCTATGGCTTCTGCAATTCATCTTTTTCCTCTTTGACATCAAAACAAGCGCCGCTACAGCTTTTCCATTCGATAAACCTTCAACAAGAAACCAAAAACAAAGAAACTAAAGCTTCATTTGAGTCTCCAAAAGGGAAGAAAGAATGAATATGATATTTGGTTATGGTGATGAATGCTGTATCTAGAAGGATCATCACCCAATCTTCAAACAACACAAAGGTCCCAACCTTTACTATCAACAAATGGTCTAAGCCAATCCACTGTTCTGTCGAAACCTCTCATTGTCTTTATCACCCCTGAAAAAAAACCCCCAGAACTTACTGAAAATCGAAAAATAGTGGAAATATAAAAAGAAATGATTGTTATAAAGCTCAAGGGCAATGTTTTTTTTTGGTTAACCAACTAATAATGGAGGGATCATCTTAAAATTGGGTACAAAATCTGTGTCAGAGAAGCATCTGATGCTGGTAGGCACAGTGGCAGTGGCAGTGGCAGTGACAGAGAGCTTTTTTTACTTGTCTACTTGAAGAAATTCATGAGTCTTTATAACAACAAATCAACGACGGTACAAAGGGGTTGTCTCAAAAATGGCGGGTTAATATACGGTTTTGCGGTATATTAAAATATATTTAACAAAAGCAGCTTGTGACAGCTACCTCTAACTGCTCAGCCCCATCAGTATCCATATAGTACGCGGTATATGATATGATCACGCTATATGAATTTGATATAAATGAAACAATAAAAAAGATTTTACAAAATAGAATTTGATATAAATAAAACAATTAGTAAGATTTTACAAAACAAATAAAATTAAAGTAAGTATATTTGATTGGTTGGTAAATTGTTCATCTTTATTTTCTCCTATTTTTTGTAAGTTGAACCCTTTTTTCCTCTGTTTTTCTTCTTAATTTTTCATTGCAAGAGCTATTAGATTTCTGCTGGGATGTTCATTTTTGTTTCCGTTTCTGGGTTTTCTAGTCTCTGCCTTCATCTTTTGATTATAACGTTTTCAGGTTGTATTTGGGAATTTGGATTCCGGATTTTAGAATGGTGTTAATTCGATGAAGAAAAAGATATAAATGCAATTTGGGGATTTCTTGGATATCGATTTAGGGTTGAATTTGAAATTCATGCAGACATTTATGATTTTGAATTTAACATTTTTTTACAATCTATATAACAAATGAAATTCGAATATAGTGCTCAGAATTTGTCTCAAGGTTGTTTCATTTATGCTCAAATATTTTATCTTGCATTGCTTTACAGATTAGCTTCATTTGATTAATTGTTTCAAAGGTTTGTCTTTGGGGATTATTGCTAATTTTGTCTTATTGTAGGAGTTTTTCCAAGGTTTCCAAGTAAAATTATACTTTAAGAGATGTACTTCCATTTAATCAGCCGATGAAAAACTATATTGCTATGACTCTTCATTCTGCTTGAAGCATACATGTTTTGACCCCGAATTTGATGCATATTTAGACTATAGTAGGGTATATGATCCTCTTAAGACCTTTCCAATTACATGAAAAACTTGAAAAATATTGAACATACCTATATTCGATATCAACTCATGTCAAACACACTCACCAAATCCTAGTAATACAGATGAAATTGAAGGTGCACCATAATGTTCCTGATCCTACCTGAACGCTGAATCAGAAATATGATTTCTAAACTATACGTTTATCGTCCAAAATTTTAGAAATTTAGGAAGGATAAGAATACATCTTTTAACCGGTAATGGATTAACGTTTGCGTTAATATTCATACTTCACAGGTGAGAATGGAAGGGGAAAAAATAAGCATAGATATTCCCAGGAATAGAAAATCCAAGGTTCTTGATCCAGTAATTTCTGTCTTTCTTGTTCAACTTCCACACAAACTTCGAAACTGTCTTAAGGTTAGCCATAGCTCTTATGTTGCATGAATTTTTTACGATGCTGTGCTGATAGATCATTCATTGTTTTCTCAATTAGATTTTGACTGACAAATTCCCTTTTTTTCGGATACAGTCACAACTGAAGAGATTAGCCAAAGATGGTGGCAAAATAAAACATTTGAACTCTTTTATTGAGAAGAAGAACCGTTTATCTACCGGATTGCGGATCGATCGGGAGAAACAATTGGAAGCTTGGAGAGGAAATCCTTAATGGGTTAATCCACCTCCAGAAATAGAGGTAAAGAGAGGTACTGGAAATTTTATGGTTTTGTTCTCAAAAATGAAACATACTCATGTCAGACACATACCTATTTCTGACACTTGCATCCGAGTTCCGAGTAACAAAGCATGACACTTTTATAGTACTATTTCTTTCATATAGGCGACGTTGAAGAAAAAATTTGTTTCTAATAATAAAAGATAATTTAAAATCCAATATTTGCACCACATTGCTGTCATTTTACTTTCAGTTTTGTAAAGTACTTGAAATCTAATGTTATTTTCGGCAGGTCAGTGTAGGGAAAGGCTCTCTTTGCCACCTTAAAGCAACAGTCGATATTGGGTTGCCCCCAGATGAGGTGTATAACATCTGTACTGATCCTGATAACAGGAGAGTTTTCAAAAACGTTAAGGTGAGTGTTACATTTTCATCCACAATGATAAATCTGAAGTTATATCACGGTACGATTACCCCGTGTTGCTCTGAATCTTCATTTACTTTGAAGTACCGATATCTAATGCTCGTGGAAATGACTTAGCAACTACCCATATGTCGGAATGACATTCATATAGCTTCAATGTTTCGAGCAGTTTTAGAAATTTCCGGTTTTTATTTTAACGAGCTGATATTTGGATTCAGGAAGTGATATCAAGGAAGGTTTTAATCGATGAAGGTCAAAGACAGGTGGTCGAAGTGGAACAATCAGCTATCTGGAGATTCCTTTGGTGGTCAGGAACCATCTCGGTTCATGTTCTAGTGGATCAAAACAGAGATCACACGGTATGGATTTCCCCTAGTTAATTGACACGTATTTGGAATGATAATGGAGGTATTATCTTCCATGAATCGCTAAATACTTAGAAAACGTATTCTAAATACCCGTCTGAGTACTAGAAGTTTTGCCTGATTGCTTTTGCTTAAACTGATCTTGTTCGGATTACTCAATGCATAAGTTGTTTGCAAAGAGATTGTGCAAGGTTTACTAGTGGATAACCCTTAATTCTAATGATCATGGTTAACAGATGAGGTTCAAACAAATGAGCAACGGATTCATGCAAAAGTTTGAAGCCTTGAAGGTTACTGGCGAGTCGAACCACTTTTCGTGGACGAGAAAATCTGTTTTCTTTTCAAACCGAAAATGTTGTCAGAGTATTGTTCATGTACTGGAGGTAAAGGAAGACCAACTGATTCAACCAGCCATCGCTCCTCCCCCACCCATTTCTTGGTATCTAAGCGGAATACCTGCAAAAACCACTGAGATGCTGATAAATGATCTAGTTGCCAAAGCCGACAGAATCAAGGGCAGATGTGACTCGGAAATTTTGGACAAGGAGCTTTGGTTATCAAAGAAGATAAACGAACATCATTACCAACACGAGCAAGTCTGTGACACTAAAGAAAGATGGAAGTCTCATCGGAGGAATCGGAAGTTGTTGCAGCGTCTTAAGAAGCTGTTCACAGATGAATCCTCAAGTTTTTGATTTGTTCGAATTCATCTGTATTTTGTTGCATCAATATCATACGAAATTTGTTCACTAACATTGTAATGATTTCTCCATTTGGACATTTGTAACTCTTTCGGATTTTAAGCAGTGTACCAATCTTTTTCTTCCTACACATATGACCAGTGATTACAGCGAGAGGTGCCAATCAGGCTTATTTGGGCGGCTTTGGCTTCGGTTTTTTGGGGTTTTGATTACTTTGGGTTTAAGTCTTTATGGGTTCGAATTTGTCTAGGTTCGGAGTTGGTTTCGGTTGAGATTTTGGTTTGGGTTCGGGTTTGTTTTCCGATAGATGTAATTTATATAATCTATAATATAAAAGTATATGATTATAACTTAATTTATTATTATTATTAGGTGAACTTTTGTTTTAAAATTGTAATATAATAATTTAATCATATTTTTATTAAAATTATTTATCTATGGCTAGGGCAAAGCAACAACCGAGAAAACCGAAAAATCGACACGAACCGAGTAAAACGGTTCAGTTCGGTTCGATTTGGTTTTAAACGGTTCGGTTTTCGGTTCGATTTAAAGGCTTCATTTTTTTGATTCGGTTCGGTTCGGGTTTTTCATATGGAACCCATTTGTTCCATACTGAGCCGAATAGGCAATTTTTGTAAAAAAATTATAGTTTCAAATGATTTTTTCATTGAAAAACCGAAAAACCGAACCGAACCGAACCGAAAAACCACCCGAACCGTTAAAAAAACCAAACCGAACCGATAAAACCGGTTTCGGTTTTTTCGATTTTTTAACTATTCGGTTTCGGTTTAAATATTGAAAACCGTTTATTTCGGTTCGATTCAATTTTTGGTAAAAAACCGAACCGAACCGAACCGAATACACCCCTATCTATGGCTCATAGAAGTTCAAGAACCTATTTTACCATTCAATAACACAAATATAAAAATATCGATGAAATAATTAATACATTAAATGATATGAGATATACTAAAATATTTTTGGATTCTAAAATCTAAACCTTCATGATATTTTTGGATTAAAGATATCAAAATCTGGGAACTAAAGGGCGAATCTTTTGATTTTTGTGAGGAAATTGGGGCGATGCCAAAGAGTTGGTGGAAAAGCTGAAAGGGAAGCATACAAGTTTCAGCTCAATAAAAATAATTTCAATGCATGATGTTTTGTACCTATACAATCTCGAAGATCCGGATAAATGATGGCAGTGATGAATCTAAAAATATTTTTTAGGATTGACATATATATGTTAACAACATAAATTTTTTAAATAAGATGAGTATAAATAAAATTTTAGAATGAGTACCGTCCATAAAAGAAAATAACTAATCGAAGAAAACTCAGATTTTAGGATAGTAACAAAAAATTTCAGGGTGGTTTGTGAGATTGAGGGGCGCCAAGGGGTTTTCTGGTAAGGGAATTTGAAGAACTCGGCAGTGAATGATCAGCGTAGGGTGTCGGAGAGGGTATTGTTTAAGTGTGCCGATGTCCGATTGGGTGATTTAGGGTGATGATATTCGGGAAACGAAGTTCCAATATTGTTAACAACATGATTTTTCGATAACTTCTATTCGTTTGCTCTTCAAGAAATTGTTCACCTGATTGTGCTTGTTGCTTTCTTTTTTTAGATTACTTC